AGATAGATAGATAGATAGATAGATAGATAGATATAGATATATATAGATGAGATGTGGCACTGTGGTTTGATGCCCTGGACTGCAAGGTTGGTTTGAACTGTAAGGTTGGCGGTTCAAACTCACCAGTAGCTCCTTGGAAGCCCTATACAGGGTCATTATGAGTTTGAACTGATCTGACAGGGCTCTGGTAGCGTAGTGGTTACGAATCAGGCTGCGAACCGCAAGGTCAGTAGTTCGAAACTACCAGCTGTTCTGCGGGAGAAAGATGAGGCTTTTTGCTCCCATAAAGATTTACAGCCTCAGAAACCCTATACAGGGTCACTATGAGTCGGAACTGACTCCAAGGCACATAGCAACAACAACAACATAATAACAACAGTACGATATTTTAAATTGCTATGATATATTTTTGCAGGGATGTACCATAATTTATGGAGTCCTGGTGTAGCACTGTGGGCTAATGCACTGGACTACAAAGTTTTTTGAACCATAAGGTCGGTGGTTCAAGCTCACCAGCTGCTCCTTGGAAACCCTATACAGGGTTGCTAAGGGTCGGAAACGACTCGACAGCACTTAACAACAGTAGCGACCATAATTTACATAACCAGTCTCTTTTTCCTGGAAATATAGGTTGTTTTCAATTTCCACTGTATTAACATACCTACAGATATTTCTTTTACTTGCATTTATTTCCTTATATTAAATTCCTAGAACAGGAATTGATAGGTTAAATAATATGAGTATTTTAAGGCTTTTGATATATAGTACCTGATTATGACAATGATTTTTAATAATAATTAAAAACATCTTAAACACATCAGCCATTTCAGTACCTTTCCAGAGAATATTTGGCAAACATGTTTTGAGGGATTAAATTTGATTCAACAAACTGGTCTGAGCTCCCCCTTCTGGTGACAAAATTCTGATATTTCTTAGAGTTTATGGTTGCCAGTTATTGAAGCCCTGATTTTACTGTTTCTCATTTCAGGCATTTAAAACGAGAATCAGCAACATTCCTACAATTAAGAAGTTCTTGCAACCTGGGAGTCAGAGGAAGCCATGCCCTGATAAGCAATACGTTGACGTTGTCAGACACATTTTGCAGTTTTAAAGATGGCAGGAGTCACATCCAATCACACCACCAGCATATATAGTGCATAACCGATGTAAACAGTAGATTCCCAAATAAAGTGTCTGGATATAAAGTAACACTGACTTCTGGTGTGGGATTGCAGGTTAATGTGGTTAAACTGCGACATCGGTGTGGGCGGTTAAGGCCAGCAGTTCTAACTCAACAGTTGCTCCTTGGAAACCCTGTACAGGGTCGCTATGAGTCAGATCCCAACTCGATGACACTTACTTAACAACAACAGCAACAACCATCAACTACTCAAGCCAAACCAAATCTCTTGCTGTGGATTTGATTCTGATACATAGTAATTACCCTAAAGAGTAGAAATGCCTCATAGGGTTTCCAAGGCAAAGCTCTGATAATGTAGTGGTTATGAATTGGACTGTGAACCTTAAGGTCAGCTGTTCAAAACTACCAGCTGCTGCGTGGGAGAAAGATGAGGCTTTCTGCTCCCGTAAAGATTTACAGCCTTGGAAACCCTGTACAGGGTCACTATGAGTCGGAACCAACTCCATCACACATAACCACCACGACCAATCCTGGTGTGGCGCTGCAGGATAATGCACTGGCCCTCAAGGTCCGTTTGAACTGCAAGGTCAGCAGTTTAGACTCACCAGCTGCTCCTCGGAAATCTTATATAGAGTTGCTATGAGTTGGAACCGACTGGACAGCACTTAACAACAACAATCTTTATTGAAGTACTGCCACATCTTTCTCCCTGAGTGGCTTATGGGTTCCAACCGCCAATCTTTTACTTAGAAGTTGCGTACTTAACCGTTGCACCACCAGGAAACTCCTATTAAATACCACATAGAATCATTCTTGATGTGTGGAGTGTTTTGTTTTTTGTCAGTTTTGGATTATGGACCACAACTTTTATTAAATGAATAAATGTATAAACAAATTATTGTTAAGAGCTATTGAGTTGGTTCTGACTCATAGTGACCTTGTATAGGGGTTTCCAAAGAGTGGGCTCAAAGTTTGGACTGTTGGCCTTGTGGTCTAAACAGACCTTGTGGTCCAGCAATTATCCTACAGTGTCACAATAGGAGGCAGATAGATTTAAGGTAGTGACCTTCAGAGGTCCTTCTTGCATTCTGCATCAAGATCAGGACATTTGAGGGACGAGTGTCCAGAAATCTGGGGAGCAAGATTGCTCTACAATCCACCGTGATGGTGAGCGCTTGTAAAAGAAAAAAAATGGCAAGTGATAAATTAGGAGTAAACAGAGGAACAATGCCAGGGAATTCTAGAGGTAGAGTATAGAAGGGGAATGTTCAAAGAAGACCATTTTGAAAACCTGAACAAATTTGGACAGTTAGGTGATCCCCCTCCCACCTAATACAGCCTTCCTGAGACTGGATTTTACTTTGGTGAAACAATTCCAAGTAACAGTGAGATAACACTTCCAAAAAGTATTCTCCAGCCCTGCTATGTTTCTTTGAGAAATAATTATGTTTAGTATTTTTTCATTAAAGATAATTAATTGTGTTCTGGATTGATGTAATTAAGGAGCTTACCCCTACACTGAGGCTCGATTTCATGGGGGAATGGAAGGACTCATTTGGTGATGGAACATATTCAGGGTGGTGTCTATTTAGGGTGACCAGGGTGAGGTGGTCTCTGGTCTGGAATAGGACTCTTGTCAACAGCTTAGGGTACACTTCTTGAATTTGGTGTATAGTTCTAAACTTCTGCTGGGATGTCCCATCCCAAACTACGAAAAAAAAAAAAAAAAAAAAGGCACCCAAACCAGTTGCCATTGAGTTGATTTCAATTCATAAGAACCCCATGTGTTATAGAGTAGAAATGCTCCATAGGTTATTTCTTGACTGTAGTCTCTATGGGCACAACTTCCCAGGCCTTTCTTCTGCCTCCTTCATAAGCTTTATGTATTTCTGAGCACATATGGGTTGGAACCGACTTGATGGCAGTTAACAACAACAACAACCTTTGTCCAGGTCCTTACTTACAAAATGACTTAGTGACTTTCCTCAAAGGCATCATTAAGCCTAACCATTTCTACAGCCGACCTTGCACCATCTAGTCTTCCTCCCCTCACGTGACTGACTGATCAAGAGACTTATGATGACCGAGGCCAATCAGCACCCTTACCTTCCTTCAGTGTGGGGCCTGAGCTCCTGCTCCCAGTGTGGTCAGACTCCAAGTATTCAGCTCATCGCCTCATCTCCTTCCCCACTTTTAAGGAAGTCATTTTAGATGCCAGATGATGAAAAAGACAGAGGAACTTAGACCAAGGGGAGAACTCAGGCTCCTCAGAGAAAACCCTTTCTATGTGGGATGACTATTTCCTCTCGCCTGTAACAAAACCAAGGGTCTAACCTTAGTAGAAGTAAAGTGTGGGGTGGGGGGGGGGGAGAAGGAAGCAATTGTTTTTAATGATTTAGAACTAGAAGCCAATTTTCTTTACGTTACAATTGTGGTCTTGGTAAAAAAAATAAATAAATAAAGAGGTTTAGAAGGCAGTTGTTGCCATCAAATTGGTTCTGAGTTATGGTGACCACATGTGTGCAGAGTGGAGTTGCTCCATGGTTTTTTGTTGGTGGTGGTGGTAGTGGTGTTATTATGTTTTTTACTTTCTATTGTGAATTGAATGAAGGGTTACAGAGAAAATCATCAATCTTAAATTCAACAAATCATAGGTTTCATTTCATCTCAGTGATTGAAATCCTCTCAGTGTAAGTATTCCAGAGCAGTTAACTGTGCTCACGAGAAACCTGTATATTAACCAATATGCAGCTGTTCAAACAGAACAAGGAGTACTAAATGGTTCAAAATCAAGAAAAGTATATGTGCTAGGATTGCATCCTTTCGCAATATTTATTCAATCTGTTGCTGAGCAAATAATCCAAGAAGCTGGATAATATATTAAGAAGAATATGGCATTAGGATTTCGGGAAGACTCATTAATAGCCCATGATCCGCAGATGATATAATCATGCTTGCTGGAAACTAAGAGGACTTAAAATACTTACTGATGAATATCAAATATTACAGTCTTCAGTATGAATTACACTTCAATGTAAAGAAAACAAAAATCTTCACAATGGGACTTATAAATAACATTACGATAATTGGAGAAAAGGTTGAAGTTGTCAAAGACTTTATTTTGCTTGAGTCCATAATCAACATTCATTGAAGCAGCAGTCAAGAAATCAAATAACAACAACAACAAAAAGAAATCAAATGACATATTGCATTAGGCAAATATGTTGCAAAAGACTACTCTAAAGTATTAAAGAAGGAGCTCTGGTACTGTAGTGGTTACGAGTTGGGCTGCTAACCTCAAGATCAATAGTTTGAAACTACCAGCTGTTCCATAAAAGAAAAATGAGACTTTCTGCTCCTGTAAAGATTTACAGCCTCGGAAACCCTATACAGGGTTGCTATGAGTCAGAACCAACTCCACGGCACATTACCGCCACCATCAAAGTGTTAAAGAGCAAAGAGATCAGTTTGAAAACTAAGGTGTGCCTGAACCAAGCCATGGTATTTTCAATAGCCTCATGTGCATGTAAAAGTTGGACAATGAATAAGAAAGGTCGTAGAAGAATTGATGCATTGGAATGATGGTTTTGGAGAAGAACATTTAAAGTACTATGGACTGCCAGAAGAACAAACAAATCTGTCTTTGAAAAAATATATCTGGCATGTTCCTTAGAAGCCAGGATGGTAAGACTTAAACGCTCATACTTTGGACATGTTATCAGAATGAACCAGTCCCTTGTGGAGGATATCAAACTTGGTAAAGTGGGGGGGTCAGTGAAAAGAAAAACAACCCAGGAGATTGACTCACTGGAGCAACAATGGGTTCAAATGTAACAACACAACAATGGAGCAGGACTGGGCAGTGTTTTGTTCTGTTGTGCATAGGGTCACTATGAGTCGGAACTGAATTGATGGCACCAAACGACAACTATATCCTGGACCTTCTAATGTGATACCTTTCAGAGCAGTTGATAATAGTAGCCAGGCACCATCTAGTTCTTCTCGTCTCAGGGTGGTGGAGGCTGCTGTTTCATGTTCCATTAGTCATTTGGACTAATTATTTCCAAGTGTCTTTATTTTCATCACTCTTTTTTTCTCTGAACAGGGAGAGACCAATGGTTGCACCTTAGATAGCCACTCATGAGCTTTTAAGATCTTATTACTCATCAAAGTCAAAGACTTCATTCTTCTTGGATCAACTATCAACACTCATGGAAGCAGCAGTTAAGAAATCAAACAACATATTGCATTAGGCAAATCTGCTGCACAAGACCTTTTTAAAGTGTTGAAGAGCAAAGTTGTCAGCTTGAGGACTAAGGTGCACCTGACCCAAGCCATGGTATTTTCAATAACCTCATATGCATGTGAAAGCTGGACAGTGAATAAGGAAGACTGTAGAAGAGTTGATGCCTTTGAGTTATGATGTTGGAGGAGAATATTGAAAGTGCCATGGGCTGCCAAAAGAACCAATAGGTCCTTTTTGGAAGAAATGCATCCAGAGTGCTCCTTAGAGGCCAAGATGGCCAAATTTCGTTTCTCATACTTTGGACATATTGTCAGGAGGAACCAGTCGCTGGAGAAGAATATCATGTTTGGTAAGATGGAGGGTCAGAGAAAAAGTGGAAGATCCCCAGCGAGATGGATTGGCAAAGTGGCAGCCTCAATGAGCTCAAGTGAGGCAACAATTGTGAGGTTGGTCCAGGATCAGGCAATGCTTTGTTCTGTTGTGCATAGGGTTGCTATGAGTCGGTACCAACTCGGTGGCACCTAACAACAACAGCTCATCAAAGTAAGATGTAGAACATTGTCTTTGTGAGTTAAGTCATTTTAATTGACCATGGTGTCCCCTAAAACTACACAGTCTTGAGTTCATGTGAAAAATGAATGCACTCTACAACTTCACAGTTGGATTTGCTAATTCATTTTAATGACCAAATCATACTCAGACACCATACTCACAGATATGGGGT